GTGTGTGTGTGTGTGTGTGTGTGTGTGTGTGTGTGTGTGTGTGTGTGTGTGTGTGTGTGTGTGTGTGTGTGTGTGTGTGTGTGTGTGTGTGTGTGTGTGTGTGTATGTGTGTGTGTGTGTGATTCCGCCTTTTCTCCCTTTCCTTTTACAAAACTCATCATTTGTTTATCTGACATATATCATCTTTAAACATTCTGAATACACATGATACTGGCAATCACTGCTGTACATCCATATAGACAGTTTGGCAGATAGATAAAGAAAGAAAATAGATAAAGAAAATTACAGCCAGACAGACATAAATATATAGTCAGACAGTTATAGTGGCATACAGACGAACTGACAAGCACAAAGCAGACAATCAGACAAACACACGAACAGATCTACCAGGGGACACTGAGACATATTTTGCGCCGTCTTCGCAGTTCTCTATCTTGTCTCAGACTCACCTAATCTCCTTATCTCGAGGCCTGATGTTGCGCAATCTGTAATCATTTCCTTATCCTTTTTTTATTTGGTACAGGCCACTAGAGTGATGGTTTCATATGTATTCTGCGCCATTGGGAGTTGATAAACGTACGAAAACACATTCTAGACAAATAAATAAATAAATAAATAAATAAATAAATCCTTTACCTGCCGTCCCTTTAGCCCGTCTTCTTCTTCTCCTCCTCCTCCTCATGCTTCCCCCCTTAATTCTCTCCCACAACCTTCAGCTCGCTGACGCCCCTCACTCGTTACCCCTCCTCATTCCTAATCTTGTATTATCTTCCACTCCCCCCTTTACTCCTTATCCTTCCTCATCCCATTCATCCCCCCCTATTCACTCGTTCCTTCTTCCCTCCCCTTTCCCCTCTCTTCACTCCCCTCACCCCATCTCACCCCATCCTCTCCTCACTCAATACCCCCCTCCCCTTAATCATATCTTCCCTCTTCCCCTCCTCATTCCTCCCTCATTTTACCCCTTCACCCCCCCCCCCCTCCTTCCGGCCAAGATACCAAGCCTGTAATTAAGAAATTGTTATGATTTTTCCACGTCACACCAACGGCCCCGTGAGCTGATGTAACTAGGTAATGTTCCTCTAAGCTCGCGTCTGTTCTTCCAATTTTAATAACTCTCTCTCTCTCTCTCTGCTTCTGTCTGTTTGTTTCTGATTTAACAATCTCTCTCTCTCTCTTTCTTTCTCTTTCTTTCTTTCTTCTTTCTTTCTTCCTTTCTTTCTCTCTCTCTCTCTCTCTCTACCTCTGTCTGTCAGTTTCTTTCTGATTTAACAACTCTCTCTATCTGCCTGTCTGTCTGTTTCTTTCTGATTTAACAACTCTCTCTCTCTCTCTGTCAGTTTGTTTCTAATTTAACAACTCTCTCTTACTGACTCTCCCTCCTTTCTCTGTCTCGGTGTACTGACGTATCTATGTATGTCTATGTAGGCATGTATATAAGGATTAAAGTATATAGGTATAATGTATAGCCTATTTGCATTTGGTGTGTGCGTGTGTGTTATTCAGTCATGCCTAAGTCCATAACTGAATATTCATGCTCCATTCAAGTCCTCCCATACCTACACTAAGCGGAAGTCCTTTCACAACACACAACACGTCCTTTCACAACTACACACACACAACACGTCCTTTCACAACTACACAACACACAACACGTCCTTTCACAACTACACAACACACAACACGTCCTTTCACAACACAACACACACACGTCCTTTCACACTACACAACACACAACACGTCCTTTCACAGCTACACAACACAACACGTCCTTTCACACTACACAACACGTCCTTTCCCACTACACAGACACAACGTCCTTTCACAACTACACAACACACAACACGTCCTTTCACAACTACACAACACGACCTCTGTCACATACCGCCAACGTATTCATCATCCACAACTCATCAACGAACAGGTTATTCATCAACGCCACGAGGAAACCATCGGATGAGTCGAATCCAATGATTAGGCTTCTAATCTTTCTCGATCCGTAATGAATATCCGTTAATGAAATCGTGCGTGACATTATCAGCGCCGCTAATCCTTTTGTCTTGGCTCATTTTTTTCGTAATGACTGGGATTTGCCCTGTCGATATATTTTCCCATAAATGCGTTGTTTTAATTACAAGCGAGGCTCTACTTAACGCCATCATACCCTGATACTATCCCATAAATCTGCGCTATTATGAGACCAAGAGTAATATCATCATTATAATATAATATAATATAATATAATATAATAAGAGTAATATAATATCATTATCGATATTAGTTGCATCGCTACCATTACTATTATCAATATTTTTTTTTTCTCGGGAGGATGGCTGCGACGTCGTGACTCTACGGACACGGAACCCAGATTTCAGCCAAAGAGCAGTTAGTCAGGGTGGTAAATAAACTTACTTAACTTAAAGAGAAAATTCGGTCGCTTTCAGAGATAGTGCGTCATTATTCACGTTCCTCATAAATACTCCTGACGCATATGTGCTTCTCATCGTGAAAGAATCTAACCTAGAAAAAGGGAAACGGGGAAAGAAGGAGGAGAAGGAGAAGGACGAAGAGGAGTAAAAGAAGAAGAAAGAATCTAACCTAGAAAAAGTGAAACGGGGAAAGAAGGAGGAGAAGGAGAAGGACGAAGAGAAGGAGTAAAAGAAGAAGAAAGAAGAAAGAATCTAACCTAGAAAAAGTGAAACGGGGAAAGAAGGGGAGAAGGATGAAGAGAAGGAGTAAAAGAAGAAAGAAGAATCTAACCTAGAAAAAGGGAAACTGGGGGGAAAGAAGGAGGAGAAGGAGAAGGACGAAGAGAAGGAGTAAAAGAAGAAGAAGAAAGGATGAGGAAGAGGAGGCAGAAGAGGATAAGAATGAAGAAGAAGAGAAGTGTAGGAAGAGAAAGAAAAGAAAAGAAACAGATAGAAAAAAAAGATGAAAAAGGAGAAGAAAAAAGAAACAGAAAAGAGTAAAATGATGATGAAGACATCAATAATAATAATAATAACAATGTTTTGGTCGCGATGATTAGATTTTTTTTCTTCTTTTTTTTGTTCATTAGCAGGTCAACTCAAAATGTTATGAACAATTTTTTTACCAGAGGTGTTTTAGCCTAACTTAAATGACATTAGATTTAACGTGGTGATCCGGATCCAGGAATTTTTCAATAGGACTAATAATTATTATCAATATGTTTACGGACGTCACTTGTATACTTGCGAAAGAGGTGATTCTGATATAATTCTTCAAGCGTAAATATTGCATCAGTGTCCCTATTGCCTTGGCGGAGGTATGCGCTCTCTGAGTGCTTCTAATTATTTCTATTATTATCATAAGAATTATTATTATTATAACGATTACTATTATCATTATTATATTATAATCATTATTGACTGTCATATTTTCATCATCATAATGACAATAACAATAATAATGGTAATCAAAATAATTTTTAAAATGATAATTTTATAGTATAAACAATATAGTAAAAGTAGAATTGCAAAAATGATAAAATCAATAATAGTAATAATAATGATAATAAGAACAAAAGTAAAAAGAAGAGAATAATAGAATATAATAGGAAAACGAAGTAGAGAAAAGAAGCGAGAGAAAAAAAAATATCACATATTCCATTTTCTTCCCTCTCTTCTCTCGTCTCTAAAAATCTTTCCTTCGCAATCATCCCCTTCCTTCCTTCCTTCTCCCCTCTTCCCGTCCATCGTCCCAGCTCTCGCCCTCCTTCCTGCCCTCCCTTCTCTCGTCTTCTCTAAAAATCTTTCCTTCGCAATCATCCCCTTCCTTCCTTCCCTTCTCTCTTCCCCATCTCGTCCCAGCCCTCCTTCCCTCCCTCCCCTCCTTCCTGCCCTCCCTTCGCCTCCACCTCGTCTCCACCGTGCCACCGTCACTCCGGAACAGCCACTTCCCTCTCCCACACGCTCCGCCGAACTCCACCATAACAAACCTAATTGTACTAGGCTCTCTCGCCATATATTTTGAGCACGAATTTTTAGCCTTTATTTTCATCATCATTTTAGCTATTCGTCTCTTTCCCTTCATTCTACAATTTTGTGAACTGAGAGAGAGAGAGAGAGAGAGAGAGAGAGAGAGAGAGAGAGAGAGAGAGAGAGAGAGAGAGAGAGAGAGAGAGACAGAAAGAAAGAAAGGAGAAGAGAAATAAGGATGCGTGAGAGACGGGAGACGGGGAAAGGATGAGTGAGAGTAGCCTTTTGAGAAAAACGTCGAAAAAAAACAAACTTTTTCGAGCATAAATGGTAATTATGATGATTTTGGCAATGTCAGGCCAGCAGACAGAGCCAGGCAGACGAAGGCACGAACCGCCCTCCCTGCAGACACCCGCAGAAGATCCAGTCAAGGCAGCCTTCTCGTCCCCTGAAAATGCGACGACACGACACCTCAAGACCGTCGACCCCAAACCGCGCAACCTCACGAAAATGGACCCCAAAGACCCCAAAGAAGACCAAGAACCAAAGAACCGATCGACCCAAAAAAACTGAAGAACCAATTTCTCCTTCAACCCCTTAACCTAGCGGCCCACCGACCTCCGAATTCAAGAACTAGGAAACCCAAGAACTCAAGAACCAGAGAACCAAAGAACCCGAAAACCCAAAAACCTAAGAGAACCAGAGAACCAAAGCCCTGACAACCCAACAGCCGTGACAACCAAAGAACCCGCAAACCCAACGACCCCCAGAACCAAAGAGTCTGTGAACCCACCAACCCAAGAACTAGAGAGAGAGAAAAAAACGGTGACCCAAGAACCAGAAATAATAGAACCGTAGAATCACACAACCCGATAACCCGAGATCCAAAGAGCCCCGACATGAACCCGACAACCCAGGAACCCGACAACCCAGGAACCAGCCAGTGAACCCGACAACCCAGGAACCAGCCAGTGAACCGACAACCCAGGAACCAGCAGTGAACCCGACAACCCAGGAACCAGCCCTCACCCGACAACCCGACAACGACGCAGCGCTACTCAC